AACAGAACTAAGAGTGCCATCATTATGTGTAATGTGTTGACAAACGTGACACATCGTGACATACAGACAAAAAGTTTAAACAGCACTAGCAAACATCAGTTGCATAGACCAACCCCCCAAATTGAAAATGACAAGCTTGAAGCACTCGGTCATTAAATATCTTCTGTACCCTCCTCGCGCGTCCAAGACAGAGTGCACCTTGTTCTCATGCCCCTTATCCAGTTCATACAGAAAGTTCCACTGGTGCTGGGTGACCGAGTTCACCCCAGGCATGCTCAATTGGGTTGAGGTCTGGCGAGCATGCTGGCCGCTCTACACCCTGCTGCCTAAGGAATTCCGTGACAATCCTGGCCCTATGAGGCCTTGTGTTGTCGTCTTGCAGTAAAGAGGGTCGACCATAAAATCAATGCATAGCTTGCAGGTGCTGCTATAGGGAGCATCTCGTCCCGATAACGTCCGGTAAAACAATCCTGGAGTTATCCTGCCCAAACCATGACCGATCCTGCCCTATGAGGCCTTGTGTTGTCGTCTTGCACGTGCCTGCCTGTAAAGAGGGTCGACGACATATGTTCTGTCTGAAATCAATGCATATTCTTTTGACTTTTGCAGGTGCTGCTATAGGAGCCAGTGCATCTCGTCCCGATAACGATGTCCGGTAAAATTGCAGGTGGATTTTGTAAACGTGTTGCATTTGTAACAGAATGTATCGGACGTTAAAGAACGTAATAATGACATTTCAAAGGCCTGATGTGTTTTTCCATACAGTTAAGAAAGTACATTCAGTTGTATATATCCAGATTTTAAAGAAAGAGTTATAAGGACGCTGAGTATAATATATTTTGGAGACCAATTGCATAGGTTATTTTTATTTCCAAATAGCCATGACCGATCCCCATTCGGAGTTAATTATGTTAATAACAATTCTAAGATAGCGGTTAGAACAATCGAAAAAAATACATTATCAGACATTCTACCATGACTTCAGTAAACACTGGATTGTGATTGGTTAATTAAAGTCATTCAGAGGTATATAATCACGTTATACAGGTCTCTGTTTTCCGTGCGCAATCATACATGGTTTACGGTAATGCACTATTTTTGTCTGCCCACTAACATGGCGGACGCAAACAACCTACCGATGCATCGATAAATTACGGCGATTTTACTGTCGGAAATTACACATATGTCTTTAAAGATGGATTTAGCGATGACGGGCTCGACTCACTACTTGCGTAAATCACAGCAATAGGTGTTTATACATACAAAAGTACTTCGAAAGCATGGAAACAAATATTCAGTCGAACAAGATCAAAACATCGTCTGCTTTCCGAATAAAAATTCAGCAAAAACAAATTTGTTTACGTTGATTCTATGTTATGTCAGAATAGATCCAGCAATAGACTGCTACAAAATTTCCGTGTTAAATTTATTATCAGCTTTCGTCAACGATATCGCCACTGATCTTGATCCGGTAACGGAGGATGCATTAACATCGAACGCCGAAGAAATTTTAATGCCTTCCGTCCACATAAATAAACAGTTGGGTTATCAATCAAACAAAATGATATTTTGAAATTTGTACTGTTTCAAATTTAGCGGTAGTAAAACACAATTAGATCTACAGAATCTGCAAACCGTTCTGTTTAGCCCAACATATTTTTTTTCTAAATGTATAATATCGTTGAAAAAGTTATTTAGCTTAGTCATGATCCCTCTTATCCATTACACTGCTTGATCTAATGTAGTCTATTAAAGTATAATTAATTACCTTACCGTGTTTATGCCAGAGGCACACCCTCGTGTCCTGATCCATCCTTTCGGAAATATCACCACAAATCTGGCTCTTTGTCAACAGACTCGCGAACATAATAATAATAATAATAATAATTGCATTTATATAGCGCATCATTCACTAATAAATGCTCTGTGCGCTTAAGATGGAAATTGACACTTGAAAAGATGCCAGCGAATCCGATTCAATTTGAATTCACTACACTTTGAAGCCACTAGGTCACAAAACACTTTCCAAAATGTAGAAAATAATATCCGTAGAATCGAATTTGAGCACAAAGTACACACATGAGTGTGTAAGAGTCACCACAGCTGTCGCACGCAGACGTAGAGGTGCGTGAAATCGTCAAGTTGACAGGGCGCAAAATTCAACAGCTCTAAATTCGGTACAACACGGACTTCTCGTTACAGCAAAAGCGCCCTACTCGCCTTAAATTTTGTACCAGTACCAGTAATTAGATATCAAAGACTATCTCAGTCACTGGGCACAATCAGGTTAACCTTTGCACAAACTGTCAGAGGCTCTCCTGTCGCATCTTTCCAAATTTGCACGTAAATGTAAACAATGACTTCGAGAAAGGTCAAGGCCATGAGGTTGCTACCACTTCTCTGGTGGGGAAAGCGTCTACGGTGCGGAATTTTCAAATGTGAACCAAGCTTTTTAAACTTATTTGATATATGTTTTCCAACTTATCAGTTAATGATTGGTGATTGATGCATTGAAAAAACAAAACGTGATTTGTTATTACTGAATCTGTAGTTTGTTAGTCATTGACGGTTTGCCACCAAACACCCCGTTTCGGGCGATACCACTTGAGATTGGAATGCGAGGCCGCTTCACGTATTGACTCGTTACCAAAGAAAGAGCTCCACCTGAAATTGTTCATAAAATTGTCATGGTAGAATGGAGATAAACCTACTGTGTTGGAAAATCAGAGGTATATAACGAAATTATAATAGCTCTAAATTGTTCATTTAAAACCTCACGCTACGCGTTCGGTTTTAAATTAAATTTAGAGCTATTATAATTCCGTTATACTCTACCTTGATTTTCACACACAGGTTTATCTCCTAAATAAAAGTATAGTTTTTGATGACGTAACAATTGAATGACGTTATCCCGTCACTGCGCCATTCTAGCGTGCCCCTCGTAATCGAACCATTTTACATTACGTCACAATGTAAGCGACGTCACGATGCATGTCGGTTGTCATCGCCTCGTACGGCCTCCTACAGTAAACTACACCGTTGCATCCAGTTTCTTGGTTTTGCTGTTGCTTCACGCAGCTAACATCACTGGTGGAAACACTACGTTTATGTTTTACGACGGTTAAAATGTGTCATTGCGACTCACAAGTTTTCAGCGACACGGTAACGTTCGTAATGTTTACATTCCCATATATGCAATTTTTGAATGTCAGCTTGACTACTCAACTTCCTCTGGATGTACTGATCTAAAACGTTGGTAGTAGAAATGCAACGTTCATATTGCCCCATATGGTTTACGTTAATGACAGATGTAATTAAAATAATTCAGAGAAGATATTTAATCCGAACGTAAACCGTCATCAAGCTGTTATCATTTGTTTTTCTCTGGTAACGTTCGTCTTAACGTAGGGGCAGACACATCAATAGAACAACGCGCCAGTTAGCCCTGTGCGAGGATTCTTAATTTAGGTCATCACGTTTCGTCGTTGTTTTTCTGCCTTAAATTAATCGTAATTATCTTTAGAAAGTATTAAATTTGGCATCTTAGAAAGAAATACACTTTCGCCCTACCACCATGTATAGTGTAATAAAACACACTTTCGCCCTGAACTATTATAACGTTGAAACGCTCGTGCTTTAAGCATAATAGTTCAGGGCAAAATGTGTTTATTACTGCTATGACATCGGTGTGTATAACGAAGTGTATTTCTTAAATATAGTTTAAACAAGATTTCCGCCTTGTACAGTACAGGAAACATTTGTGATCGTCAACTTGGTGGCATGCCGTGTATCTGGATCGCCTAATTGTAAGAATAACAGAAAGAGAACAAAAGTATATTCGCTTCATATATGACCAAAAGAAAAAATAAGTACAAAAGTTGAAAACTGAAGTGTCTTTTCTGTTAATAATATCCGGTATATATCTTGTATGTCGGGTATTGGTTACCGATCAATAACTGTGAACCGCCTTGAGGTATGTACTGGGTATTAATTAATCTTTATCTAATGGTGAATGAGTTAAGGAGTTGATGCCCTGATCAGTAGTATCAAGGCTTCGATTAACGTTGACCTGGAACCTATTTACATCTCGTGTTTATCTTACTAGAGAAGCCCGGGAGTGTATGTATAGTTGTGTTTGTCTGGGAAACCAATCGTAGGAACCAAGGAAAGTCTGGGATTCGAGTTGTGGAAGGGACGGCACCTTTTAGAATATATTTATACGTGGAAGATATAAGAACATCGATAATATGAATACTAAAGAAATATATATTCAAAGAAATATAAATAAGGTCGAGATAACCAATTCCTGCCAAGTCAATAATAACATACATGCCTTTCACAATTTGAAAAATATCAATAGTATGCAAGCGTTCAGATCTTTAAACTTAGAAGTATTTAACAACACACGGACACTGGTATTTCAGTTGGTTGGTTTTACACCGCAGCATACATTTATTAGCCAATGGTAACACACATAAGTTAGAGACAGACGTTTGGGGGCACCTCTGTTTGATAATATTCCATTCATAAAAGGGCATGGGAGAGTTCAGCCAAATATGATACAAGACAACAAAATCTGCAAATTCCATCTGTTATTTGCTTATTAAAACTAAAAGTTAACCGAAAAACAATGATTAAAAAAGCACGGCATGAAAACAACAAAAATACAATGGAGTATGATACAGTTACCAATTTTATTCTAAACTTAAATAAGAGCACGAATCAAATACAAATGTACATCACCTCGGGGGGGTTTCAGCGGCAATGCAAAAAATAGTGACAGCGTAGGATCATACGAAAGCAGTGCTTATAGTAAGTGAGTGAGTGAGTTTGGTTTTACGCCGCTTTTAGCAATATTCCAGCAATATCACGGCAGGGGACACCAGAAATGAGCTTCACACATTGTACCCATGTGGGGAATCGAACCCGGGTCTTCGGCGTGACGAGCGAACGCTTTAACCATCAGGCTACCCCACCGCCCCTTTTTAAAGACAGAGACCTAATTGCAAACTGGTCGAGTTTCCAAAAAGGGTATCCAGGGTAGGGTTGATCTCCGCATAATTGCTGGCCTTCTTGTAACTAGAGAGGTAATATGAGATGGTAGACAAGATGTTGCTCCCCTTGTATACCAAAGAAAAAGACTCCAGACGATTCTCCACCTCCCTGGGTCAGAATATAGTGGAAACGTAATCGTGATTAAAACAAGCCTACAGACATGTCTTTTTGCATTAAGATGAACTATTTCACCTTTCTAACAACCTGCAATACTTTGGGTTGATGTTGAGCTTCAGAAAATAGATAGATAAGTCCAGAAATTACATCGGGAACTAACATAAGAAGTACTGTAAAAACAATAAAGGCTATTCCGACTGATCCTATAGTGACGGCGCTGGGTGTGTTGTCCTGGGCGCTTGTCCGCTTCCTGATGGTCTTGGAGAGGTTCTTAGTTTCCAGACGAAGCATGGCATGGATGTCTTTCCGTAACATCTCAAGCCGTTCCTCAGTGATGTTCCAAGGAGCATGGTTTTCGCAAGGACACCCACAAACCTGTGGAACATCTACGACCGCTGCACTTGTAACAGTAATGGCAGTAACAGAGTCAGTCATGCTTGTTAGGTCTGTTTGCAGTGTTACACGGGTTGGAGACAAAGTGCTAAAGGTTTCTGGACCGTTTGTTATGTGTTCATATCCGGAAGTAGACTTCAATTCCGATGATGAGGACGATGTGATGAATGATGTGGAGGTCACGGGTTCAGCTGGTGAACTGGCTCCGAAATCAAAGGCAGAGGTTGTGGTTGACGGTGTCGTCATTGCCGAGGATGATGCTGATGCTAGTTCTCGTGATTCAGCAGTCGTTGTTTGAGGAAAAGACTCAGACACTGTCGTTATTGACGTCATGAACGCCGAAATCTCATATGATGACGATGGAAAAAGAGTCGATGAAGGAAGAGATGTTGATGTAGTTTCCGTAAGTGATGTAGTTGAAGAAGCCTCCCAAACTGTGTGAAAAAGGAATAATGTATACATCTGAGGCAGTCTAGGAGCACATTTCATATATTATACAAAATCAGAAAAGAAAAATACTTGTGAAACATATTTATAAGCAATAACGTTTCCGGCATTTTTTCTTTCTTCGACAACATTTGGAATAATACCTGTGCATAATTTCTGTTAATGGAGTCACAGACAGTTTTTCGATATGATCACATCAAGTAAGCTCTGCTCAACCACAGGTTAGACTGAGCAAAGATCTTAGTTTAATTTGCTGTTGTTGCATGCTCATGACCATAATCAGGTATGGATCGCAACTCAGGTATGGATCGCATTACCTCGCCTTATATTAGACTACGAACACACAAACAGACTATTCTTAGCTATTTTTTTATAATTCTCCGTCTCTTATGTATTAAAGGAGCCCCATTAGATCCAAATTTGGGCCGTATCTGATAATATGCAATGACAAAAATTCACTGTTCTCACATTATAACAATATTAGTTAGGTTCGAACTATTTCATGATCAACCAAATAGATTTCAGAAACTCACTCATATTATGAACTGTGATGAATTGATGTAGAAAGTTTACTTAAGACTACAAATGATTTTGCAATAAACATAAAAATCTATAATTTTAACATTCATGGAGAATAGTCAAATCTGCTTTTATGACGCACGAAGCATTAACCCAGCTTCATAACGGCAACGTGTAAATAATCAAGACTACGCAATCCAGTGATTGATATTTGGATCAATGACCCATGACCTCAGGGCACAATCAGCCACAGTCACAGACGGTGATCAGTCATTCTATGTCTATTGCAACAAGCAATTTCTGTCAGGGACCGGAAATTACCTCAGAATTCAAGGTGGAAGTGAAAGCGTAATTTCACGGGTTTGGGTCTGGCAGACCAAAGACCATGATCATGTTTTATTTGGGTTCCGAACCTTAGTCAGCTTGTTCAGAATGATTTAGGCATGCATTTTCGCACAGCAAGTTCCAGTACCGTATATACTAGATGAATTAGATACTCACCAAAGTTCATGTTGAGTGGAAAGGCAATGCCATTGTACTTGTCCTCATTAGAACCATAGAGATATGAACCAAATTCCAAAGTCCCATCGCTATAGGACAAAGGCCAGTTCTCCACCTTCCTGGTTAACACATCATATTGGCATCCGGGAATTACTTCCCTGGACACTCCTGCAGCAACTACTCCAGCGCCGAGATCTGCTCTGTCGACGACTGTCGCAACGTACACGTACTCGCTCACACCAAGGATGTCAGTCACGCCATAATCCAGGAACATGCTTGTGGTAAACATGTTATTAGCAGTTAAGATACACATGGAAGCGTCCCCAAATGTTTCTCGATTTGAAGTCTTTCCAAATGCGACAGCGAGTACAGGATTGTTTGAGCTTATACATTGCTGGCCTGTGTGATCTGTGTCGATGTCCATGTACTCAAATGCGTTCAGGTCGAAGGATGAACCATTGCTGAATAAAACCTGGGTGTTGTTGGAGGCAGAGACAATTCTGTTTATTGTTCCTTTCGACCCATGTTTGATGAGGACATAACTCAGACCAAAGTAGTCTTCTGGAATCAACATCTCTTGAAGGGTATCCCTGGTTCTGTCGGCGGATACGGCATCGTCCTGATGTCCCGAGATGACAACGATCGGCTTGTCGCTTACAATTCTGGTTCCAGTAAAATCTCCACTACAAGTCATGCCATAGACATCATAGGCATCAAGGACGTGATTCGAAGTACCACCATTTCCATGAACATCACATCCCTCACCGCTTGGAAGCTTATAATATACGTCTACATTGGTTTGATCCATGATTGCTACAATGAGCATGACTGGTGCTGCGTCCACATCATGCCTTCTACCGTGGGTCACTGCAATGTATGAGGTTGATAAGGCATGGAAGGGAAGAGCCATGTATCCAGATGCCTTGTTTCGATAACCATCGTAGACGTAGACTGAAACCGGTGATGTGGATGCAACGTACACTGCAGATGGTGTGGATGTAAAATATGCATTGTATCTCAACTCTCTTGGCAGTGTTTCTTTCCACGACTGGCCAGGTTCCAGCGTTCTTGTCAGATTCCTTTGAAGCAAGGGGATGGTGATATTGACAACTGCCCCCAGCTCAGCTGAGATGAACAGGAGCGGGTTCCCTTGCCTTTTTGGGAGGTCTATGAACGATAGCATAAACTCAGTTCCTCTTTGATCCTGTCCAGCAACCTTATCTGAACATGTAAAACAAATAACACGGGTTTAAAGTTTACCGTGTCGAACGCTCCTACAGAAATATTTAGTGTCGACTATAGAAAGAAATAATCATGAAATATTTGTGTCTGAGATGTCATTTTTGTGGTAATTCAAATGTCACTTCCCAATGTCTCGTAAACCTTTTGATAATATGTCAGCCATTGATTTACACGGTGCGTTCTGCCACTCAACCTAAAGCTGACCACAGTGTATGTATATTCATTTAAAACATGAAAACAGTTGTTCTTTATGTACAAAGACAAATCAACTCGACATCTTTCAGCAACGGACTCGTGAAGATCCGGGTTAGAATTGGTCTTCAGTAAGCACTGCTTGTCGTAACAGGCGACTAACGGGATCGGGTGGTCAGGGTCGATGACTTGGTTGACACAGGTCATCGTATTCCAATTGCGTAGATTCATGCTCATGATGTTGATCATTCGATCATTTACAGACCACCGCCATATAGCTGGAATATTGCGGAGTGAGGCGTTAAACAACCAACCAACCAACCAACGTTGGTAGCAAGTATGACGGAATTCGTATTCTACTTACTCAATATGGCGAACATGACGCTGCACACTGAAAGCATCATCTGAAACGCATCATACATCTATAGTCAAAGCTATGTATCACACACATAACATTGATTTCCTTAAACATGCTAAAGGGGCATCTTGAACAGACCAACAGCATATTTCTTTGACTACTATGACGATAGAGTAATATCTCACATGGTTAGTTAGTTTGACCACACAGAAATGGGATAACAAACAACGGAGAAAACAGAGTTAAACTTTCGAGGCAGGCATGGATATAAACTGTTTTAAGGTATATAGTTCCCAGTAAAAATAGATGCAAAATATTTTTAAAAATCCAAATGCATACACATATACTTACCCACTGAGACTTGTGAACCATGTTTGTCCTACACCGTTCCATCTTTAAGAGAATTTGGAATAATTGCCTCAGGAAATGACAGTTATGCCCCAGAACTCTCTTAACCTATGCTCATAAATGATTCCGATTGACCTTTTCGAATAACATTTATACTTCGTTAGAAAGATATCGATATATTGATCTATACATTAAACGGTAACCAACCATCAGCAACATAGCAACAGACAACATCGTCGTATTAGGCGCTTTTGTTTTACTCATCTGTGTATTGGTTTATCGTTATTCACGACTCATATCATGGGTGCTTCTTAAGTGGATTTTAAAGCAAGTATGTGTCTGGGTTGGTTTCGTTAAAAAAACAAAAACACATTATGAACGCTTGACTGAAAAGTTTTTGTTTTGTAGTATATGAATTCGTGAGCTTTAGACATTGAGCTCTGTAGTGTGTAGTCATTTGGTTTGAACATGGTGTTCAGCGGTGTATAGTCATGGTGTTCTGAAGTGTATAGTCATGGTGTTCTGAAGTGTATAGTCATGGTGTTCTGAAGTGTATAGTCATGGTGTTCTGAAGTGTATAGTCATGGTGTTCTGAGGTGTATAGTCATGGTGCTCTGTAGTGTGTAGTCATGGTGCTCTGAAGTGTATAGTCATGGTGTTCTGAAGTGTATAGTCATGGTGTTCTGTAGTGTATAGTCATGGTGTTCTGAAGTGTATAGTCATGGTGTTCTGAAGTGTATAGTCATGGTGCTCTGAAGTGTATATTCATGGTGCTCTCTAGTGTGTAGTCATGATGTTCTGAAGTGTGTAGTTATTTGCTTTGAACATGGTCCTCTGAAGTGTGTAGTAATTTGCTTTGAACATGGTGCTCTCAAGTCTGTAGTGATTTGCTTTGAACATGGTGCTCTGAAGTGTGTAGTCATTTGCTTTGAACATGGTGCTCTGAAGTGTGTAGTCATGGTGCTCTGAAGTGTGAAGTCATGGTGCTCTGAAGTGTATAGTCATGGTGCTCTGAAGTGTATAGTCATGGTGTCTGAAGTGTATATTCATGGTGCTCTGTAGTGTGCAGTCATGGTGCTCTGAAGTGTATAGTCATGGTGCTCTGTTGTATGTAGTCATGGTGCTCTGTAGTGTGTAGTCATGGTGCTCTGAAGTGTATAGTCATGGTGCTCTGACGTGTATATTCATGGTGCTCTGAAGTGTATAGTCATGGTGCTGTGAAGTGTATAGTCATGGTGCTCTGACGTGTATAGTCATGGTGTTCTGAAGTGTATAGTCATGGTGCTCTGACGTGTATATTCATGGTGCTCTGAAGTGTATAGTCATGGTGCTCTGAAGTGTATAGTCATGGTGCTGTGAAGTGTATGATCATGGCGCTGTGAAGTGTATAGTCATGGTGCTCTGAAGTGTGTAGTCATGGTGTTCTGAAGTGTATAGTCATGGTGTTCTAAAGTGTATAGTCATGGTGATCTGTAGTGTGTAGTCATCGTGCTCTGTGGTGTATAGTCATGGTGCTCTGAAGTGTATAAGTATAGTCATGGTGTTCTGAAGTGTATAGTCATGGTGCTCTGTGGTGTATAGTCATGGTGCTCTGTAGTGTATAGTCATGGTGCTCTGAAGTGTATAGTCATGGTGCTCTGTAGTGTGTAGTCATGGTGCTCTGTAGTGTATAGTCATGGTGTTCTGAAGTGTATAGTCATGGTGCTCTGAAGTGTATAGTCATGGTGTTCTGAAGTGTATAGTCATGGTGTTCTGAAGTGTATAGTCATGGTGCTCTGAAGTGTATAGTCATGGTGCTCTGAATGCATAGTCATGGTGTCTGTGAAGTGTATAGTCATGGTGCTCTGAAGTGTATAGTCATGGTGTTCTGAAGTGTGTAGTCATGGTGTTCTGAAGTGTATAGTCATGGTGCTCTGAAGTGTATAGTCATGGTGTTCTGAAGTGTATAGTCATGGTGATCTGCAGTGTATAGTCATGGTGCTCTGAAGTGTATAGTCATGGTGCTCTGAAGTGTGTAGTCATGGTGTTCTGAAGTGTGTAGTCATGGTGTTCTGAAGTGTATAGTCATGGTGCTCTGAAGAGTATAGTCATGGTGATCTGCATTGTGTAGTCATGGTGATCTGCATTGTGTAGTCATGGTACCATGATGTGTGTAGTCACTTGCATTGAACACAATGCGCTGCACTGTGTTGAGATGTACCCTGGAATCCTGGACATGGTACTCGTGATTGTGTCTTCATATGCTCTCCACATCGTGCTCCTAAATATATAGACGTTGTTGTCCAAAATTACGTCTCTCTCTCAGTGGTTGTGAGATTCAGCAAAGTGGTAATTATATACGCCCCACCTTCGTCGTTTTCCATACACTGACACTTGACACTGCAATATAACTTAAAGGCTTAACATCGATGAAAAAAAAATCCTGTTTTAAATCAGTATGTAACGCATTAGGTATGAAGTTTCTTGTGTGGTGGCGGTAGGGCAACATAGGATATGTTTACACTTTTCGTTAACGCCTGGTGTCACGTTCATTGAAATCGACATGTTTGCCTTGTATGCCATGTGTATTGGTTTCTGTGGATAATCGAGACTGGTAACTTGAGTTGACGTTTCCATACACAAAGTGTGCTTTTCAAACATACATTGCGTGGCTTGTCATTCTGTTTACTTATAAGACTGGAAGGCAGCTAGAGAATGGTCAATCTTAATACCTTTCTCGAATTGCCAGACGAGTGTAAGTGTAAGTGTAAGTGCATGTGCAAGTGTAAGTGCAAGTGTAAGTGCAAGTGGAAGAGCAAGTGCAAGTGCAAGTGGAAGAGAAGAGCAAGTGCAAGTGCAAGAGCAAGTGCAAGTACAAGTCAAATGTAGGTGCCAGTGTAAGTGCAAGTGGAAGAGCAAGTGCAAGAGTAAGTGTAAGTGATGAGTGATGGTTATGCGTCTAGATATTCAATTACGAATCAGTAACTGAACTGGGCGATAGGGAGTCATTTACAAACACATGCTCATGAATCGTACAGTGTCACTAGTATTTTTAGCCAATATTTCTGATGAGTATGGAAATATAAGGTTGTGTTTATATAAGGTTATATTCGTCGTCTGGACCTGTTCTCATAATATATATTTATACCTACAAATTAAGCATGTGTTATATCCTGCTACTGGTTTCCACTTCTCAAACTAAACACTGTTTTCGGAATAACAAAGGGGATCCTTTTTACCTTGATAATGTAGTGATATTTCTGTAAATGCAATATGTCATAATTACCTATCCATACAGTTGAAGTACATGAGCTACCGAACCAGATGAAACTCTACAATACTCCAAAACTATTATCGGGCTTTATACATTCTGTTACATTGATTCGAAACCTGGGGGACGTAAACATTTCGGAAATCACTTGTTCGATACGGTTATTGTCAACACGTAAGCCTGAAGGCATGTACACCACCATCATCATCATGCTGCTTGAAGAAGGAGACACTACCCGGTTCGCGAACTTGGTATCTCATGACAGTGATGAATGTCAATAGTACAAGCCGGAAGCATCCATATCAAAATATTTGCTCCCCTGATCTCTTCATGTATATTCATAGATACTTTTGCTGGCGTTACCGAATAAAAAACAGCTTCCGATATATCGGTGATATCGTATTATTCAATGGTCAAATAGCCCATTCCCAATGCTGATTTATCAAAGTAGGAATCAAAGAGACTTGTGAAACCGCCTCTTCTGTTTCATATTTAGATTTGTTAACAAATAGCCAGATTGAGAATCAAATGCATAGCCCTTGTGTCTGTATATCACAAAGTTGAGGAAAAGTGTATGTTCTTTTTACATCGATTACAAAAAATGTCGAAAGACATTATCTCAATAGTTGTTTGGCCAGATTTCATTAGTTCAAAAGTGTTCGTAAAGCTTTGAAAACTCGGACCTTTTAACATTCGAAGCATTTATGACCAACATGTCTGAAGCATTAACCTATTGTGACTTGTCTCATATTCGTCAGTGTGTATTTCAGGTGAATACTTGCCGTGTTTCTGCATGTGTTTGTGATAAGTGCAACCGACGGGGCAGTGATTACAGGAATATGTTTTCGTCTTTATCGGTGTATGTTTATGGTTTCGGGCATTTATCTTCAGACACTTGGGACATTTGCTGTTTGTGCCGACTAAAATGGCTAATTGCATTGAGTGTCATCCTAAATCGTTCGTGTCATATATCTGTGCCACATTTACCCATCCAGTCAGGCTTACCTCCATGATGTGGAACGAATAAGGCAAAGTGTGCCGTAGAACAACATTCACGCATCGCCTCGTCATATTTAAAACCAACGCATAATCCTGCTTACATAGTTTTAATGATCTAGAATTCCTCACGGCATAATATAGATACAAGTATATAAAGCTAAGTGTAAAATGTCAAATATGATATGTTTAATCGACGTCATAGTCCTTCAAGCCACTTGGAACAAATCGTCAACACCCCACTGCTTTTAACAGTGAACGTGTTCAAGATTCGTGGATGTTAGCTCTGCAACAATGCACGTCGTCGTCTTTGGTACTTGTAGCAGCCAGAAGCACACACAGTCACACAAAAGCATAAAACACACAAGCCTTGAACATCCGGTGCCACACACCGCTATGAGGGAGGCCCACCATATATTTGCCCGCTGGAAACCGTTCTGAACATTCTTATCCTGAAGACTCGAAGCGTCCATTCGAGTTTTAAAGAAGTGCAATGATAAACAACCTAGAATCAATCTCAGTCTATTTGACATTGAAACATTTTTGCAGCATTCTACATGTTTTGGTGGTTATCATTTGCTGTACTGTAACACATCTTATTGTAATAACAAAGACTGAATGACTGAAACCGTTCTGCACGTTCTCATCCTGAAGACACTAAGCGTCCATCCTAGTTTTAAAGAAGTGCAATGATCAACAGCCAAGTATTAATTTCAGCCAACCTGATATTGAAACATTGTCTTGGTATTATACATGTGTGGATGGTGATTATTTGCTGGACTGGTGTAAACTATCATATTGTGTTAACAAAGAGACATGGTTCTGAATAACTTGAGTCAAACCTGCTGGATTTCTAATTTTACCGCCTAGTCCGCATGTATTTGTTCATTCACAACTATTGACCCTTGACACAAAGCAACTATCATATGGTATCTCAATTCCATAGTTTCATTCAACCCGCTGATATCAACACTGGATTTGTTAAAGGCTACTGGACTCTTCTGTCATATATGACATTGACAAATGGTCCCCAAGAATTATGAAGGTTCCATTGATCCAGGTCCAATGGCAAGCATCATAACGCACATGTAATCTTATACATTCTGTCATAGTAAACGCCTGTTAACGGGCATTATTATCCCGAGCCTTGGTGGACTCTGTTATTACATAAGACAAAGTGATAGGGTTGAATCAGCAAGTTTTCCAAGAGTCTTCACACGGTCGCTTTTGATGCCGAATACTTTAAGAAACCTGCTGTTGTCAAAATACAACCTGTTCTGGTTGTATACAATGTTACGAGGAGATGTGCGAATTTCAACCACGGTGTCAGACTGGCCTTTATCCAACTGCAGGCGTTTAATCCCGCCCCATGCACTGTAATACAGCGCCTGGTTTGTAGGATCCAGCGATACGGCAAATATGGAGCTGCTGTCTTTAACGAGTTCCTCCTGTCGTCTTCCGTCATAGCTGGTCTTCACTAGGAAAGAGTAGTGACATGTATATATCATTTTAGCATCAGGATCAACCGCAACAGAATACATGTAGGGGCCGTACTTCTTCATATGTTTCACTTCTCGAAGGTGTTTACCACGTGTCGTCATCTTGCTGATGGTGTAGCGTGGCGTGGAGGTCGTGAAGAACAGCAGACGTCTACAGACGTCGATGGCCATCCCTTCAGAGGACAGGCGGGACAGCCTGGTGGATTTGGCAGGCTTCTGGAGATCGCTGGAGAATATCCCCGGATCCCTGGAACTGTAGTTGGACCATATTATAGTCTCTGTGGCGGGGTCATAAACCACGGAGCGGACATGACTGGTTTGCAGAGGGAATTTCAACTCGTCGTTCTTCCCAAAGATGACGAATCTGGAGTCTTTGGCACTCACAGCCAGAATTCTAACTCCGTGTTTCTTTGCCGACTTGGCACCAATTGCTTTGGATTTGCAGCTTTTCGGATCGCTTTTCTGAAAATGAGAAAATAATACATTAAGCATCTAGATGTCTGAGGAATACTGGGTCGCAAGCTCTCTCCCAAAATGGACAGTAGTGGTTTATCAAAAACAGAAAGTCAACGGCTATGATATTTTATGTCTGTGGGTGCAGATATCAAGGTCGTGCGACAAACAAAACACAAGATCTGCTAAAGTAATAACGGATACACTAAAGTTCTATTTAGCGATATATTTTCAACTTTGTCAAGTGATATCAAGATCTCCACAGATGACGAACAACGATGGTTTTACGCGACGCACCAAATGTGGAGAATGGACGCAGAAAACCCAAAATACCGCGTCCGGAGAGACGCAAAAGAATACCGAGAAGACCTACAGTCCATCAGGAGTCGTGTCATTTCACCAGTCAGTGTTGACCACTGTACACATGGTCTCTGATTCTTACCAGACTCTGGATCCCCACTATTGTGAGTCAAGGTAAATCAAGGAAATGACCTCTTTCATGACTATGTAATGTCATTATTTAACACTGAGTAACAAAATCACTATCTCATGAAAGTATTACGTAAGGATATCACATGATATTGATATTTGTCGAGACATAGAGGCAGTATTTGATGGCCCCAAGCTCAGTGTTCAGAGTGTCTGGGATAACACAGGCAACATAGTCGTTGTTAAACGCCGCACTCAGCAATATTCCAGCTATATGACAGACCATCCAGTGGTCAACATCATGAGCATCGATCTACCCAATTGGGAACCGATGACATGTGTCAACCAAGTCAGCGAGTCTGTCCACCAGATCTATCGCCTCTTACGACAAGGATGGGTTGCTGAAGACCAATTCTAACCAGGATCATGCAACATGGTGATCGTACTGACTGGAACCAGTTCGTGTTTATGTATAATCTCATCTTATTTCAGCGTCCTGTAAATGGGTACCAGTGAGCGGCTAGAGCATAGGCGGCTTACAATAATCGCAATCGAGGAAGAATGACAAGCTAAGTCAGGCATTATGCGAGTATCTGCAGTCACGCCATGCTGCCGTGACACTCGGTTATCAGTAAAATTGACGATATTTTTTTCAATTTAAAAATTTTTTCAAAACTCCCCAAAACATTAGTTATTATGTTATTGGAATTTCGGCGATCCATTCATATTATTTACAACGCGAAGTTCCCTTTAACCCCAAAGGAATCTGTTTCACAGATGAACGAGACTGATTAGTGTCTGGCGCTGACGTTTCAGATTAGTCCAGTTAATCTGTCATGCTCGGGTTCCAGCGCGACATGTCTGCTTACCGACAGAATGCGGTGCTCATGAGGTGTAACGAAACTCAGTGAGACCTCGAGACAGGGTTTGGAGATTGTTGACATTGTTGAGGGAAGAGGGCTGTAACCAAGCACAAGGACATTGCCACCAGTAGAAGCGAGATCAGCGTTAGTTTCACCACACACGCCGTATGTATTTTGACATGTATATCTGACATGTAGTTAACGATAGTTTGTGAGAGCGTTGTGAAACTACCGTAAAGTCTAGGGTTAACGTCTTCTTTGACACCAGATTTAAAACAAATACATCTTTGTTTTTCACAACGTATGCAGCAAAACTATTACGTGAATCGGGCAATAGGCAGACAATGTCCTTGCAGTTGCATGTGATCAATGAATTTACACGTTTTAGGAAAAATGCAAGCCATTAAAGGTAACGAAGAGTTCGGATCCTGGCACAGCCTGACTAGGCACAGTCTGTCTATGAGTCTGATACGACTGGTTCAACGTATGACAAGCACGATACGTTTTTCGTTTTTTTTTGTCAAACAATAAATCACAGTAGCTTATCGGTCCTGATTTCGACTGTTAAGGTCTTAAGGGACAGGGACGTTGGGTATCCTATCACTTAAATCGTTTTCTGGTCACGCCGAAGATCCTTGTTCGATTTCTCACATGGGTACAATGTATGAAGCTGGAATATTTCTAACAGCGGCGCAGAACCATTCGAACTCACACATTCTTACAGGGTCAATGCCGTTCCATGTATTTACTTAGACATATACAAAAAAGGTTTCACATCACAAAAGTGATTGTTTTGTTGGCAATTGGGACGGTTTATAATGTTTTCAGAGCAAAGATGCACTCCTTGTTTTCTTTTTACTCATACTTAAGTAATAAAAAATTCAGTTAAAATTACAAGCATAAATAATGTGTATGGCAGTGCCAAATATCACTGAACGTTACCGCCTTGATTTACGGTTCTTTTCTGTATATGTGTGGAGCGGTGGGGTAGCCTAGTGGTTAAAGTGTTTGCTCGTCATGCCAACAACCCGGGTTCGATTCCATACATGGGTAAAAGCCTATTTCTGGTGTTCCCAACACACTCACTCACCCACTCTTGTTTTAGTGACTCACAGTATTATACATGACATCCGTGAACAAGAGAACAAGTTGATCATTATATAATTTATAATACCATCATCAAAGATATATTCCTGTTTTCTTAAATAACACAATCTCATAAATAGATATCATTTAATAATGTAAGGAATTTGAAAAAAAAATTAATAACAGTGTGCGGTTTGTTGGGGGAACTACGGAACTACTGTTTGTGTTTCTGTAGCTAACTCTCTGTATATCTGCAAGCTTGTGTATCACGTGACACATCTCCACGCTCCCAGCATTCGGGGACTATGGACGTATAAGACACATGTCTGCTTTGTGCTTGGTGCTTGGGACAGAAATGTGAGTCAGAGAACAAACCTGGTTAAGACGTATAAACGGAAAACGAACACATGGAAGTGACACATTTTGAACCCACATGTACAGCGAACCCCCGTCAATCCGAACCTCGTTTGTATGGAAACCCGCTTTCAGGACAACTAGTCACCATTTACTCAACGGAGGCAGTCAGTCGATATTTAAATATTTTTTGGTTAAAGAATATTAAATTATAAGGGCATTACACGCTAGAACTACGAACGTTAGTTTTTAAATTAAGAGAAAACTTGCAAAACCTGTTCTGATAATCAGGGAAGTGCTATAACTGTCAGTTCGCATATCCTTGTCTGACACACAGAACATGTGAATATTTATCCACTTTGTCCAGTAATACGTCTGGAATGTTGTAAGGGCTGACATAAGCCTCTAAAGCTTATATTATTGTGATATAATAACCTTGTCTTGACTCAAGTTGATTTGTTATGATCAGATGTCAACACTCTGACTGACTGACTGAGTTTGGTTTTACGCCGCTTTCAGCAATATCCCAGCAACATCACGGCTCAAGTTGATTTGTTATGATCAGTATTTCCGAAAGGGGCTCAACAGTGAGCCCAGGTTATATGACTCACCTTCGACGTTGACAACGTTAAGTTTAAATAACATTAACTAATTTGCAACATTGTAAAATTACCCGATGTAATACACTGACATTTCCTCCACTCTGAGTTTGGGTTTCTGCATTGTCAATCGGTTCAAACTAGAGACTGATGGTAAACGTCTCTATATAATATTTGCGACAGTACACAACACATAAAACGTGATTAAAATTTTGTTTCATGTCGGTCCTGAATAAAACGTGATCAAAATTTTGTTTGAGTCTCGGTCCTGAATCTGTTCAGTGTCACAACATATACAGTTTCATCAATCTCCAGTGTTCGTCATTCTTTGAGATTTTGAAACTTGAGATCTCTTGTAGTGACAGAAATAATGGCTTTTAGTATGATTTACTACTCTGTTTCTCAGAAATGAGAAACTCGTTTGTACATCTTTACGTGAGGCAACTGGAGGTTTGGGTCTTTCTGGGTTTTTTTCAGTATTAGGAATAAAATTCCAAAATTTTACATCCCCTGTACAGTGTCACGTGGATGGACATACCAGGGTGGTGGGGTTACAAAAGATAGGTCATAATTAATATTACAGTTGTCATAAGTGTTAAAGTGAGTGAGTGAGTGAGTTCGGTTTTACGCCGCTTTTAGCAATGTTCCAGCAATATCACGGCGGGGAACACCAGAAATGGGCTTCACACATTGTACCCATGTGGGGAATCGAACCCGGGCCTTCGGCGTGACGAGCGAACGCTTTAACCACTAGGCTACCCCACCGCCCCTATAAGTGTTAAAGACTATGTACATAACTGGAGTTGAATGTGTGAGAGAATGTGGCTGTACGCCGCTTATAGCAACAGTGACCACTAGCTGGACTACCCCACACTAACAACTAGTCTCTGAAATGAACATATTCTACAGAAGAAGAAAAAACAAACAGTTCATAGAAAAAATAAAATATAGTAAAAAAGAAGCCCTTTGATTTTCTTTGAAATAGAGGAAATCTAGACTTGCCACATATTCTAGCCTTGCATGGGCTTTCTTGGATATATTTGTTTCAGGGTCTGTATGACAAACTAGGATTACCCCAGTGCCCCTGAACATGAATGTCAACACAGACACACTGAGCAAGCTTCCTTCCACCATACCAACTGTAATTCTCACACGGTTGTCTTAGTTGTGAGGAAGATGAATAAAATATTTCATTCACAGGACGTCAATTTCATCCTCTTGTGATGAACAAGTCGACCAGCTGGGGGCAGGCTGCTCCCGTTAGAAGTCTATTGCCGCGGCTTCAAGCAGCTGCCTCTCCTTCCTCCATATCCCCCCACCACCTCCCCTTCCCCGTGATGCTGCTATATCGAGATCAACTGGACCAATATGGAACAAAACAATGCAGAGAGGGAAAGAACAGAAGGGAACAGTTAGCTAAGTAGAGATGGGCTTCTTTATGAACAATCGAAGCCAGCCTTCCGTGTGAAGGGCTAACGTGTTAAGCTTCTCCAACCGCCCTTTATAACCTAGGCTGTCTCACGGTCTCTGAACCGCATTATTTTGACCATTCTGCAATGCTAAGCTTAAATAAAGCATGTCTAGATTTCATGAGGTTCTTAATCTCCCATCCGACTTTTCAATTTAAAACTGAGTGAGTATTGCTTTTTGCAATATTCCAGCAATATCACGGCGGGGACACCAGAAATGGGCTTCTCACATTGTACCCATGTGAGGAATCGAACCCGGGTCTTCGGCATGACGAGGGAATGCTGTAACCACTAGGCTACCCCACCGCCCCTTTTTCAATTTAAAAGGAATTGTTTCTGTGAGTATTATATATATTCAGAGACTAAACCTTAGTCTATTCATAACCACATGATCTGTGTAAGGCAAACGATTGTCGAGTACCACTACTAGAACCCAAATATTTAATTGTATTTACTGTGAAACAGGAACGCTAATATGTTACACAACCTATTGTCACATCATGTGGGTTGATATGGGGAGGTATGTTTTAGCCTCTCACCGAACAGGTCTCGATTCAAGCTTTTTTAACCTTTACTGGTGAAACATGAAACTGCTTAATGCACCCTCATGTTTATGCCAACTTCCAGTGCATGCTAATATTTTGCTGCTCACAGAACACAGATACCATAGAACACAGTCCCTGAACTGTATTCCTTTCCCTATTGCATAGCCTTCCCCTGCAATGCTCGGAGAGCGGAAGGCCGCGGGTTCGATACCCGGCCGCGTCGTACCAAAAGACGTTATAATATAGTACTTGTTAGTACCTGCCTGGTGCTCGGCATTACTGGGTACAACAAGGACTGGTCGGCAGTATAATGTGTCTGAGTGGGTATTCATGTTTAACTGCGGCATGGAATATCAGTGAGCTAGCACTATAATACCAGTTAACTGGTGTTATAGTGATAGCTCAGTTAACTGGTGTTATAGTGCTGTTAACTGGTGTTATAGTGCTGTTAACTGGTGTTATAGTGCTAGCTCACTGATATTCTATGCCGCAGTTAAGCATGAATACCCACTCAGACACATTATACTGCCGACCAGTCCTTGTTGTACCCAGTAATGCCGAGCACCAGGCAGGTACTAACAAGTACTATATTTTAACGTCTTTTGGTATGACGCGGCCGGGGATCGAACCCGCGACTTTCCGCTCTCCGGGCGGACGCTCTAACCACTACACCACGGAGACGGTCTGCTGTATCAGGAGTCAGTTTGAGTAGTTTGAGAGATAATTTGTCTCGGAGTCTCAATAGAGCAGGTATCGACTATAGGAGATAAAACCATATTGCTCTCTGTGCAACCTTAGGTAATAATGTACCAGACAAAAACAGGATGCACCTGCTGCGCATTATATAATTAAAAGACTGCTTGAGTTTTGGTGTTGCTGATTTAGAATAGATTATTCTTGATCTGAAAAGTTCAGATATTACTGCATAAAATTTCAGATGTACAATGTATGAACTAGAGAACTATTCTTAAGTACGACGATAAACCATATTTCACCTCACCTGATACTGCAAGATCAGGGGCAACCTGACTTAATATAATACGTGGGATATTTGGAGACGATTTCACACTGGTAGTGTTTAGTAACATACACACTGTCGTATCGCTTGAGATTGTTATGTTCCTGTGTTTGTGAATGTATGGCGCACACTCGAAAATACCGTAATGTCTGCATAATCCTTCAGAAATCATTTATGTTAGGACGACCTCAGTGGCCCGGTGGACAGACCGTTTGCCTGGAGAGCGGAAGGTTGACGGTTCGCTCCCAACCCGCGTCATACCAAAAGACGCTAAAATACAGTAACTGTACTTGTTGTTGCCTTGCCTGTCGCTCGGCATTATGGGAATTAATCAGGGACCAAAATTCTGAAAGCGACGTCAAACCCCATTTCATCTCAATTCCCCCAATTGTGTCAACAAAACTAGATCCACGTGTTACATTGAGGTTTTCTAAACAGTTGGCTTACATGAAATGCTGAAATACATGTATTAACAAATACTTACGGTCTTGCTTCCTGGGCTTGTTCCTTGTTCCCCAACAGACGCGTCATTAGGCTCAGTTTGATTTCGAACAGTTTCAAGAAGGACGGTGTCGCCTGGTTCCAATAACTGAAGTTCCCCTGAACCGTCTAACCCCGTTGTTTTAGATGACTGTGTGGACCTTGGTGGTAGCGTGGAATCGTGATTTTGCAGATGATCCTCTAGGTGGCGCTCCATTAGTCTCATGCGATTACCAAAGTTAGCGAGACGAGACTTCAGACGAATCACCATTCTTTCCAGTCTCTGAACTTTGGTCTGAAGTTCAACATCTTTGGTTGCCCTGGCCTCCAAAGAGTCGGCCATATGCCTCTGGATAAAATCCGGAAGATTAGTATCCAAAATGATCTGATCATCCCGGGAAGAAGTACCCTCATTGTTCGTTTGACCATCTTGTCCCGAGCCCTGATGTGCTGGAACGAGGCTGGCCCCAACTCTATGTCTTTGGTCTTGGGTGACCTTGAGGGGGAAATGATGTCGCCGGATCCATCAAATTCCAACAAGTCCCCCTTAGCCGTGGAATATACAAGGTATAACACAACGAGCAACACTCGCAGAAGCTTCATCGTTAATGACTATTTACATCCTCGAACAGCTGGTACGAATACGCCAACATGACATCCTTGAATTCTGCAATTCAAACCAAAGGGAAGAACATTACACTCAATGACACAGGGAAGATCTGTATACACCAGCCTGTAGGTCCATTCCTATAACCCGCCGTCTCTTCCAGGGTCAACAAAACGATGGATATTCTTTCAGTTGAGACATATTATGGACTTTGGTCGGGATTGTTTAAAGCCGGATATGTGAGGAGCGGTTTCTCCTTTCCCTCGTAACAACGCCACCTGTGCCTTTACAAGCCGGCGATGGTCCCTAGCTCTTATTCCGCTGTGGCTGTTGTGAACAAATAGTGTTGAAATGTTTTTATAGCTATTTTAAGGCAAAGCTTTAAATTATGAGTTTTCTTATCTTTAACTAAGTAGAACTCTGAAATACCGAATTGTGTCGGATTGACATATAGCTTATGACTTTTTAATCACTGTTGATTGGTTAAGCTTTATTTATCATACAAGCTACAACGATCTTTTGCAAACCTGAACTTTAACATTTGACGAAGGGCATCATTTCAGAATGTTTAAAGTAAGCGCTTTTAAGAATTATGATCTCCGTTAAAATGGCGTTGGTCATAAAACCAACTCAAAATATAGACGATGAGTAAATAAGTTGCTTTAACTCCGCTTTAAAGAGTATTGCAGTGTGTGTCAGCTTGTTTACCACTTTGGTGAATGAGTGAGTAATGTTGCTTTGAGCCGCTTCAGCAATTTTAAAGCTATTCACGTCTATACAGGTTAGTGAAACCCATGAGCGAAAGTATGGAGCTGACAGACCAATAAACATAATGAGGGTGAATCTGGATCCGAACTCCGGAAACACAGAACTCCAACGTGGCACAAACAAGGGCCGCAATTCCACCTTCGAGGCTTCCTTCCTACGCGAGTAAATCTGAGAAATCACACCTGGTGCACACAAACCATGCAAATTTAAATATGAAGAATACCGGATTAGAACCCTTGACGTGACATTACGACAGTTCAGTGACAAACGTCTAATATAACACAGGTCACTTGGTCAAGATGATGCTCGCTACGCCATCAAATCGGAACGCCTGACAATCAATGGCTTGTTTGGTCCAGTATTGATCACCGTGATTAAGTAGCAATACTGATGGGTTAATCATCACAATATACTCACTCACTTCGACGTCACTTGATGTATGTTTGATCTCTATACATCCGTCTCCCAGCACACCCCGGTACAGACTCACTCTCACAATATTTTCTCATTGTGTAAACGTCTGTGAGCTCAACAAAGTCTATGTATGTATGTAATCAAGAGGTTTATGAAAAAAAGCTGAAGTGTGTCAGAGTTTCCGAGAGAAGAAATATTATTACAAGAATAGTTGTCACGGCGTTGTTGGTATGACTTACATCACGTCACAAAGGCTGACGTGACCTGTGTCGCCGTCATCTGTCCCTCCGAATTACGCTGACGCGACGGAAACGTTGTTTTCAAGAGGCGTTAATTACAGTCTCCCAGTCCGTCAGCGTCGAGACAACTTTTTGAGCATCCCTGTCAACACTTGTACTCCGGTTTTACATATACAATGAATCTCGGCATGCTGCCGAATCTTTGCTCCCACAACAAAGCCCAAAACTTACAGGTTATCAAACACGAGTGTCAAAGTACATTTTAAGGGTGTGACCTTTAGTATGACCTTGACCTATTGCATTATTTATAAGTATGTCCAAAAGGATTCAGGGACCCTGAACAAGATGAATGAAATATTATACCCATGAGATCTCTCAAAACACCGTGATTTCAGAAGTATACTTTTCAAACAGATGAGGTGAGTATTAAACATAAATACCAAGTATTATGAAGGCGACAGGAGCTGACGACAAATATCTTATAACATTTATGTCAGTAAAAAACGACACCAAAACACACCCGATGAGTTGCAATTGCCGCACGCAGTAGCGCTACTCAGATGCATAGTGAGTGAGTGAGTTTGATTTTACCCCGCTCTTAGCAATATTCCAGCAATATCACGGCGGGGGACACACATGGGCTTCACACAATTTACCCATGTGGGGAATCGAACCCGGGCCTTCGACGTGACGAGCGAACGCTTTACCCACTAGGCTACCCCACCGCCCCACACACAGATGCATAGAGTAGGGTTCGTTCCAACGTTCGACACTTTCAAGGAAGGTCGACCAATCTGTGTTATTGATTCTGTTTATCATACAGTTGTATTCACCGCTTGAGTGTAAACTTGCAATGCAGCATCTGCAACGCACGGAGCGTATGCAGGGTATTGTCATGCAGGTAGACACGTGAAGATCCGGGTCAGAACTGATCTTCAGCAACCCATGCTTGTCGCAAGAGGCGACTAATGGGATCGGGTGGTCAGGACCGCTGACTTGGTTGGCACATGTCATCGTATCCCAGTCGTGCAGATCGATGCTGACGCTGTTGATCACTGGATTGTCTGGTCCAGACTCGAGTATTTGCAGGCCGCCGCCATATAGCAGGAATACTGCTGAGTGCGGCGTTAAACAACAAACAAGCAAATGGCATGCATGGTGGAGACAGGCAGACGTTGGCAGGCACGCCAATCCGTTCAATGTTTCATAGTCTATGATTAGTAAACCGTGGGACATGTACCAGTAAACCCAAAACGTTTATGATCATTCGGATCACAACGACACTGAAGGCGCACTTTCTCCGAAACCAGGCCCCCCAAAATCGAGGTTAAACAACGTTTAACAAACAGCGTATGTCTTGTCGTTGAGGACAACGACGCTCGAGCTCAGTGCACGAATCATCAGTGCTCAACTCCATCAGCACCCAATCCAAATAATGCCATTGCCAGCAATGGACCCAGATCTTTCCCTCACTAGACATGTCTCGGGCATGACGGGGAGACGTGTGTGTGAACGTCATCGGCCGTTGAGGCCGAACTTGACAAGGCGCTACAAGAGAAGTGGGGCCAGCTCGCTCCAGTCGCCATGGAGGCCGAACTTGACAAGACGCTACAAGAGGAGTGGGGCCAGCTCGCTCCAGTCGCCATTGTAAACTCATTCGCACTGTGCCTCGGCGAGTGAATGAATGTTTGATAAATCTTGGTGATACTGTAGACTACTGATCCACAGACATCATCTTTCAAATTGACACTTCCCATTTTAACTCGATCGTTCTTCAAGATCGTAGGCAGTTACAACTTCAACTGTCATACTTTGGTACCGACTGTAATGTGCTAAGACTTCGTTTTAACATATAATACAAAGTTTAATACAGATTATTACCTCTCACACTTTGCTTCATTTTAATATATTTCCGAGTATCAGATATATTTTAAGAGTATATAACACGACGACTGCCTGTTCAGTATTGAAGCCGCCTCTACCGTCAACTCTGACTGGATAATGTATTCCTGAAGCTATGATTTGTCTTGATGCCATGTTCTAATCACGAACAGTGGTGCCACATTGTAATATATACATTACGGATTAGCGAATCATATTTTAGAAAAAAAATTCTAATGCATTGTGAAAAGGCATGATTGGTCCCTGTCCACAAAGCAGTCGTAACGTTACCATAGCTTTACGAATGTCCGCTCTGCGGATCGGGACCCAGGAAACTCAATAGGCCGTTTGAAAACTACCCATTTACCATTGTTTTATATCATTCATCAAAATACTTGACAAAGGATATTTTGGTGGATATTTTGTAAACCAAACATGTGATATATGACAGCCTAAGAGACAACATCGATAAGTTGAGAAATGCATGTCTGAGGGATCTATTTAATCATCCCACAAGAAAAACGTTTCACGCCGTGGTTGGACTGCACAGGGAATCGAATAACGCTGATATATTGTTAAGGGGTTTAAGCAGGGCGGTAACCTGTGGATTGGTGACGTATTTATCGCTCTGTCTGTCTCATAACGCCTGTCATCCAAGCTAGTAACTTCTCCGGTTACATGCTGCAGACAATCACGATGCAGCTGCAGTCTGTAATCCAGAACAGTCCTATCCACGTCAATCAGTTTCTTTGGAGCTTGAAGTGGGTCTACATGCACTTATTAGCATAATCAAGCGCTATGTAGTCATATTTACATGTAATTCCCTTGACGCCAAACAACAACGTATGCTGTTTACATTATTTTGTATGTAGTACAATATACGACATAGCACACAGGACATAGCAAAATCCAGGTATATGAAAGCGATCTGTAAATGTTAGAATCTAGACCAGATACTCCGGTGATTGAGATCGTGTTCAACTGGGATACAATCGCACGTGTCAATCCGATTAGTCAGTCAGCCTTTTACACAACCATGGGTTGCCAATGATCAGTTCTCAACTCCTCCCCACTATACACACACACACACACACACACACACACACACACACACACACACACACACACACACTCTCCCTCTCTCTCGTTCCCTTCCTCCTCCCTCTCTCTCTCACTTCTCACACTCTCTCTCACTCTCATTCTTTCTCTCTCTCTCTCTCTCTTAACACGTGAAGATCCAGGTTAGAACTGATCTTTAGTAACCCATGCTTGCGTGCAGCGTAAAACTAAACTCAGTCACCCACTCTCTCTCTCACTCTTAACACGTGAAGATCCAGGTTAGAATTGATCTTCAGTAACCCATGCTTGCGTGCAGCGTAAAACTAAACTCAGTCACCCACTCTCTCTCTCACTCTTAACACGTGAAGATCCAGGTTTCCTCAGTAACCCTCTGCGTGCAGCGTAAAACTAAACTCAGTCTCCACTCTCTCTCACTCTAACACGTGAAGATCCTGATCTTCAGTAACCCATGCTTGCTCTCACTCTCTCACTCTCTCTCTCTCACTCTTCTCTCTCAGGTCGCTCTCTCCGCCCATGCTCTCTCTAAATCAACTCTCACTCCTCTCTCTCTCCCTCTCACTCGTTCACTCTCTCACCTCTCTATCCTCTCTCCCACTCTCTCTCTCCTCTCACACTGAAGATCCTCTCTCTCTCTCACTCTCTCACTCTCTCTCTCTCTATCTCACACTCTCTCTCTTCACTCTCTCTCTCGCCCTCGCTCTCTCTATCACACCTCACTCTCTATCTCACTCTATCACACTCACTCTCTCTCTATCTCACTCCGCCCTCACTCCTCACTCTCTCTATCTCAGTCTCACACTCTCGCGCTCACACTTCAGTACTCGCTCTCACCTCTCTCTCTCTCACTGTCTATAGCACTCTCCTCCTCCCTGTCTCTATCTCACTCTCTCTCACACTCACACACTCTCAGCGTAAAACTAAGCTCAATCACCCATTCTCTCTCTCACTCTCACTCTCTCACTCCCTCTCACTCTCGATCACTCTCTCTCACTCTCTCTCTCTCTCTCACTCTCTCTCTCTCTCTCTCTCTCTCTCTCTCTCTCTCACTCACACACACACACAGTGTCAAGAAAACGCCCACTCACCTGCTGGAGCGTGAGAATATCCTATATTTTACAGCCGTTTCATGCGCCTCCACCCATGATAAACACAACTATGGTAGCCGTCGACGTAAGGTAATCATCACCTGAGACTACACATATCTGCAGAGCGATAACAGTCCTCTTAAACTGATACCGTCTCAGCTTGATACCGATACCGTCAGCGAACAGACCACCGTAGGATACAGTTCACTGTTATCACTGCCTGTAATCAATTCCACCTGTATCCTAAATACCAATGACGTCATGAGCAGTAGTTAACCTGTGATCCCTCTACATCCGAAAGACCGGCAGTGAGACACCTTGACTGGGAAATTCGATACGCGAGGAATGTATTTTTATCCCGTGTCATTGCATGCGGAATTTCCAAACATATCAGTTATGTCATCAAACAAAGTTGTTCGTGTGCTAGATAATGTGCGAATTGTACAACAAACAACGACAGCCAGAGGCGCCAAAAACTTACCGACAACTAGCAAGCCAAACAGATTATAAGTCATAGTGTACCTGAATATCCCAGCACAGCGGGCGACGCAATAATTGTTCAAGGGAAGTAACTCTTACTTTGATAAATTTAGAGAACACGGCATTCTTTCAAGCCATACATTGGAAATCCAAAATTGTGGATCGAAACATGACGTCATGTCGATATTAAAAAATAACTTACTAATTAACACTTGCATTACGTTGCCAACACTTTGGGATATATGATCACTAATTAAAAATTATTTTTAATTAAAAATCGAACAGATGATAAAATCAACCGGGAAGTATAGTTTTTTCTACTCCATAATTTACTATAAAAGTCTGAATAATATTTTCTAACATTTGCATTTAGTAGACAGTTCCATCGCTTAAAACATTAAAGAATCTACATATCCAATACAGGTGAACTGACTGACTGACTGACTGAGTTTGGTTTTACGCCTCTTTTAGCAATATTCCAGCAACATCACGGCAGGGGACACCAGAAATGGGCTTCACACATTGTGCCCATGTGGGGATTCGAACCCCGGGTCTTCGGCGTGACGAGCCAACGCTTTAACCATTAGGCTACTCCACCGCCCCACAGGTGAACTGAACCATGTCAGTAGTGACATTAGATATACTGATAAAGAAATGAACAAACTAACATTATTAAAAAATGTATTCCATAATAAATATATATTTTATATCACTGCACGAATACATACAATGGCAATAGCATATTATTAAGTTGATATAATGGCTCAGACACCTCATATTCCAGTGAGTGAGTTTCGTTTTACCCCGCACTCAGCCATATTCCTGCTATATTGCGGCTGTCTGTGAATAATCGAATCTGGACCAGACAATCCAGTGATCAACAGCATGAGCATCGATCTACGCAATTGGAATACGATGACAACCAAGTCAGCGAGCCTGACTATCCAATCCCGTTAGTCGCCTTTTACGACGAGCATGCGTTACTGAAGACTAATTCTAACCCGGATCTTCACGGATACCTCACATTCCAAATTTAATTGTACTATTGTAGCTATAGCGGATCCTCGGAAGGCTACCTCTAATAATATATAGCTTTGATAGAAATCAAGATCCCTTTCTAAATTCTAAAGGTGTCCCAGTGGGTATGGAATTCAGAACCTGAGGAAAATCAAGCGTGCTTCTTTTAGGGCTTTTACAGTAGGGGCTGGGTGGTGCAGAAACTATGGTTCAGGGACTGTGAGAATCGACGTCAAATCCATGTATTATCTTATTCTACTTCTTGTCATCATTTTCACATCTATAACGGTACATTCATTAGTCATTACGACCACGCGTATTATCCGTGCATTTCGTGAACCAGTAATAAGTTACTTTTCCCTATCATATATTGGAATGAGTACTTTGAGTATATCATTGCAATATTGGAAGACTAAAATACAGTGAACCCAATCCATGAAGCTACATTAATGTGAAGCCAGTATCTTTAACTGTTAATAGAATTAACCCATTAAAGTATTTAACTTTTACGACTATTAAACTATTAACTATAAGCGTATCTTGAGTGTATATACTCACTCTGGTTGTTGTGTAAGTCAGAAGCCGTAATTCGATTCACCTAAATGAATCTGACTCAGAACAGGAAAGTATGATTCGGTACTCTCCCATCAGAAATGGCCGCTTGCTTGCAGAGTAACTTCTTGCCTACGTAATTAAAGGTCACATCGTTTTGGCGAAGTGATACCCAGAAGCAGTTTTAGTAGTGCGAGATATCAACTGATTCAAGTTATCAGGAACCTTCAGTTATGGATGTACAATGATTGGGTACTCATTGATGTAGACACTTCTGACAATCTGTAATATTTCAACTCTCTTCACAACGTAATTCTATCACGAGGTTTTGTAATGGTTCTGGACCAACCAGCTGGTTCCGGTAATTTCTAGTAAATTCAAATGTATTAAACGACAAAAGGCTGAGTCATTTTCAACCTATCAGCTGTATTAACGGGGCCAAGGCTTCAGATCATTATACACGATGTTTGCACTATTCATATTGCAAGTGTGATCAGTATAACAACTTAAGCTTTGAGTTTATACCACCATTCATAGAGATTATTACACGAGCAAATATGTAATATGACTTATACGAAACGAGTGTGAAATTTTGTATTGACGCACTTGCTCGAGAGTAATAATTTCTTTACTATCCATTTTATTCATGTACATCTGTGCAGTAAAATACGGTAAGCAAGTGTGACGCCCTTTTGATTGACGTCAAGTTCAACTGTTTAAGGAGGTCACCGACGACGAAATACAGAAACAATGGTTGCTAGGCAAAAATGATATGTGCACATGTGCACATGTGATATATATATATATATACAGTACACATGACACTGGTTATGTTTCACCATATGGGTAATAATTATCAATATTCCTCCTGTTTAACGGAGACCTGTAAATAATCGATGACACGTTCCAGTGATTGACATCATGAGCATCGATCTACGCCCAGTTAGTGATACATGCATCAACCATGCCAGCGTGTCTGCCCACCAGACAACGTGAGCCACCTACTACAAGCATGGGTTGCGGAACACCCATATTATTCTTACCCCCATCTGCACGGGTGTTAATTCAAATCTGTTTTATTACTTAAAAACACAAGATACGGAATAAGCTCCTGAAGGCGTACCGCATCCGTATGTTGTTTAACCCAACACAGTGTAATTTTGAGTTTCAAGGTCAGCATTAGACGAGTTTCATGACACATTATGCAACAAAGCCGCGCCCAAGATATCGCTTTCATTCAGTCACGTGACGTCAAATGTTATAGAAGCGCCCATAAAATGTATAACTTTCCTGTAGTACGACTCTGCAATCAAGAATCATGATATACAGACTTCGACAATGAGTGAGTGAGCATGGTTTTACGCCGCTTTTAGCACTATTCCAGCATTATCACAACATTGAACACTAAAAATGGGATTCACACATTGTATCCCATGTTGGGAATCGAACAAGGGTTTTCTCGGTGACGCGCGAACGCTCTAACCGCTAGGCAACTCGACTTCGGCAATGACGGAGTGTCTCACTTATACCACCACGTAATGTCTACCTGTCTGCCGAAACCAACGAGAAATGACATGGTTTGTGAAAATATATGGGACACTATATTGTATCGATAGTGCTGATATAGCACCTAAATCACTGAAAATTGCAAACTGTTCAGTTAAAGTGAAGTAGAGGACAGGAGCTTGTAAGTTAAAAACTATCATCAAGACGCATATTGTATCGATAACATTGATATTGAACTTAGTTAGCATCGAAGAATTGTTCAGGGCTTGTAACGTAAAACCCATTCCTGGTGTCCCCCGCCGTGATGTTGCTGGAATATTGCTAAAAGCGGCGTAAAACCAAACTCAGTCAGTCAGTCAGTGTAACGTAAACCTCTAACATCAAGGTATCTGGTGTCCGTTTTGTCCCACTACGACCCCAGCAGTGCTGAAATATACCAAAGTGCTAGTTTCTGGGTCCTTTTATAATACAAAGCCCCCACGAGTGACAAAATATACCTTGGCGCTAGTTTTTGCATTACAAGCTCTTATGTGCTTGAGAGGCATGGAAGCCAGTCAAGGAGATATATAATCAAATGAAGCGGCCGTAAAATATCCCACAGGATACTGGTTTTAGCATTGATTGGCATATGTGATTGAGTTTAGTTTAACGCCGCTTTTAGCAATATTCCAGCAATATCACTGCGGGGGACACCAGAAATGGGCTTCACACATTGTACCCATGTGGGGAATCGAACCTGGGACTTCGGCGTGATCGAGTGGATGCTTTAACCATTAGGCTACCCCACCACCCCTTGATCGGCATTACTTGACATTAGTTGCTGTTGGGCACAAGTGTAACGTACACGTGTTGAGTCTGAAACAATTCATAGATACATACATAGTTCACATAACACATATAACCTCTTAAGCCTGCCTGGTTTACGATACAATAACACATCTCGGCGTAGTCTTGTCACATATACTCCCCATCAAACGTTTAGACTCACTAGCGTAAATATAGTCACTTACTTCAGGCAACTGTTCTAAACTAATTTTGCAAAATATTCCATACTGTTTAAATGTACTGTTTACACATGAACTGATGTATTGTAAAACACATTCGTAACGTTAAAAAGATTATTGTCATGAGTTCAATAAATGATAAAAATCAGTGAAAATTGGCGAATTCTTAACAAAACTTTACACCAAAACGCCGCTGTTCACATGCACGATAGTTGCACATTCTTTACAGCAATTTGATGCATCATCCTCGTGCAATTCATCTGCATAAGGTTTATACTGAACATAAAGAGTTACGGGTCATGAATATATTCTGTTTTAAACGAAATTATGAAATTGGGTCTTCACTGACAAACATATGCCTTAAAATATTTAAGACCGCAAAATTTGGTGTCCAGTTTATGTTAAATGTTTTCTTTAAGGAATAAAGAATTTCTCAGATTCGAACCAAACTAAAGACTATCAACAATGCTCCTTCTTATCAATTCCTGTCTCTTCTGTTCTTTCACATTTGTTCAACCGAATGACCAAAGTTGGTGATTGTTGCTTGACACTTCATTGAAAAGTGCAAGCGGATAATAGGTCGGAGTGCATATGTATGTTTGCTGGTGAACACCTTCCTCAGGAATAGTCCAG